ACGTACAGGGAGATGTTTGAGGCATGGAATAGAGAGGAAAGGACGGTAGCTGTACTGGGGCATAGGAGGTGGGTTGAAAAGGCGGGAAAGGATATCGTTAGGATAGACAGACTAGGGAAGACGTTTTTAATTCACCTTTTGCAAAGTAGAAAGGAACGATTGGCCATCGGTGATCGGTCCTGTGGGAACAATGCTCCGTCCTCTCGAGGGCGCGTGGTCAATGGTCTAAGCGCTACGTGATCCGCAGGCGAAACCTGCAGCACCGGCCTCCAAGGCATCGACGGTAACGGTGTCGTGTGCTGTCCGTTGGAGTGTAACCAGTGCGCAGGAACCGGCTGCACCACGTCCGGCAGAGCGGCTGGTCTTGGCTCTGAGTCTTGCTGCGGACGAGGGATCAAGGCTAGGGGCGAGAACTGTGATGACACCAACGAAGCGCCCTGCATCATCGCAACTCCTCAAGATAAATCAAATCGAGACACGTGCAGCAACTCCCCGGTACGGACAGAATATGGTTGGACGTCGAACAGAATCGGATTGAGAATCGATATCTATGCAGCGAGCCCCGAAGGACAGGCACGAACACGATGTAAGAGCGCGTTGGTCGTAAAACACACGTGAGACCAGGACTCGGCCATTGTCAATTCTCCATGCATGGCTAATCAAGGACTTCTGCACCGTAGCCAGAGCATGCCTAAGCAGTTGTCTAATCCGTCGAACCTCTAAACGTGTCTCACCCCTCCCATCGCACCTCCCGAGTTCTGTATCTAGAATCCCTGGCAATCGAACTCGTTCTTCAGCTTTGTAGGCTCTGAGCGCATCGACTCTTTGCATGGGTACATTCTTTCGGTCTTGGTGAGGCCAGAGGTGGAACGATAGGGCTTGGTTCTCCGGCAATGTTCCTGTAGTAGGGAATCAGAGATAAATCACATTGTTTCTTCAGGTAGTGGAGGCTTGATTGTTGTTGAGAAGCAAAGGTTGTTGACGACCAATATAAGTAGTCGACATAACATTGAGACGGCCCACGACTCTTGTTTCCTCGTCTGTCTGCCTGGACAACAGGTTGCGCGCCAACAGACTGAAAATTCCCAGACATAACGGGGATTGATTCCGAAACCCGCAGCGCATGCACACTGAACATCTTGGAGTGACGCCCATCTGGTTGACAACTCTTTTTGTCGTAAAGTGTGCATGGCGGGAAAAAAGTGCGCTTGACTAACCCCAACCTTTTTTCCATACCTGTCGCTTGGAGGGTTCCGCGGCACATGTATGTGGCGAATGCTAACGGCAAGACTACAGTTGGCGCCCGCAGTTAAGAAATGTTTTGTTATGAAATTGAGGCTCACTTTTTCACGAAAAAAAAGAAAACAGGGTTAAGAAACATAGCTCAATCTGGGTCACACAATAAGAAATGTCTCAATAAGAAACACAGCGGCGACCGCTGCCCTACTACATAAGAAACGAGGGTTTACGGGGGAGTGTGTTGAATAAGAAACAAACCCCACAGCTCTCTCGCTCTTTCCCTCTCTCCCCCGACCCCCCCCCTCCCATAGTGCAATATGATTAGTTGTACGACGAGGGGGGAGGTTCTCGTGAAACTCGGGTTGGGTTGGTTTGGGTAATTAGTCGCAGATCTCACCCCGCTTCGCGGCAGGAGTACTACTACCGCGTCATCCTGTACTGTGACGAAAGCACGCGTAGCATGAAGATGCCGTTGGAGTCGTACAGCACGGATGAAGACGCCGCAATTGGGGCGTGGGTTCTCCTAGAGGTAGACCCAAAGGAAGGGAGCGGGAGGCGCAAAAGGGTGACTACCCCCAATGTTCGCCTCACCGAGCTTGCAACATAATGACGGGGTAGTTTTCGTTGTTGGCACGTCAGCGTGCGGGTGAGGCATCATGCGGTGTTTATGCATTTGTTTAGTTTCAGTCCTCACTCATGAGGGGGGTACAGGACCTTGGAGCGATAGCGAGACGTTGCCGCTGGATACATTTCGCTTCTAGGGAGTGGTGGCCTTACGTGCAGCCGTCGGTAGTGAGAATCGGGGTTGAGTACGGGGGTCGAGGAAAGCAGTGCAAATCATTTGTATACGTTGTGTAGTATGCAAGCAGAGAAATAATAAGAAATTGCCGATTTGAGAAATTCAGCAGGACTTGGCTGCACGAAAAGACAAGAAACTTGGAATATGAAACTGAACGACATACGCTGAGTTTATAGCCCNCTTCTAGGGAGTGGTGGCCTTACGTGCAGCCGTCGGTAGTGAGAATCGGGGTTGAGTACGGGGGTCGAGGAAAGCAGTGCAAATCATTTGTATACGTTGTGTAGTATGCAAGCAGAGAAATAATAAGAAATTGCCGATTTGAGAAATTCAGCAGGACTTGGCTGCACGAAAAGACAAGAAACTTGGAATATGAAACTGAACGACATACGCTGAGTTTATAGCCCACAATGAGAATTCGAGGCTGGACCTGAAGTAAACGTTTCTTAACTGCGGGCGCCAACTGTATAGCTACCGTTCCGTGGCAGTTTCATTTTTTCCAGAAAGAAATGCAAGATGCAGACAGAGTTGACGCCATATGTGCGGCACGTGCTCATTTACAAGGGGGGGGTAGCAGCTTTGCTCACAGACACCATTTCCGGGAGAGTCGGGAAGGTTCAATATACAACACTTGGGCCTCCAACTGAGGTATACGGATGGCGCGGCAATTTGACCAAGTCTCACGGGTATGGCCCTCTACATACGATCTTCGGAGGATACTGCCAAAGGGTAGGGCCACGTACTGTACGGCGCCATGGGTTGTTCTTGATGGGAGAATTGTGTGCAAGAACTGACTATTCTTCTGCAGGGTTTGGTGCAGTATGGTGAAGGCGTGTATCCAAGTCTGTAACCGTCAGGTGAAGACAGCTTGGACGCCGATGTGTGAAGTTATGATCACTCTGTGTTTCTCTACCCGAGCCTCTTGCGTCACATACGCCAACCACAACGTACAACAGCGGTGAGGTCCCGCTAGTACGCCCAACAGGTCATGCGCCTCGCGCGGTCGGGGAACTACGTTGAGTCCACATGGCGCAATCATTGAACCATCTCCAGAGGGGTTATGTGCCGTTCAGCGGGGATCCGGCCCAATTCGAGGGTTGGGTCACGCTGACTCGATCCCTCATGTCCGACGCTGGACTGAGTAGGGTCATGTCGGGAGCGGAGATTGCTCCTGCGCCTTTGCCAGCGGGAGCGACCGACACTCGAATCGCGGGACACGAGAAAATTGCCCTAAAGTTCAAGGAAAAGAACGGAAAAGTGTACACGAGACTGCTTCTGGCCACGCCTGATGGCCCGGATGGATACTCCAGCCCTGCTTCGCAAGTGGTACAGCAGCATGGACCAGTCGGTGACGAGGAGTATGGCGATGGACGAGGTGCGTTCGTTGCTCTCCAGCAGAAGTACCGTGTTGAGGGTGTATTTCGCTTGCAACAGCTCCATGAGGAGCTTACTTCCGCGATGGTCACTGCAGCCGACAAATACGACCCGGCCCGAGCGATTCAACTGTTGCGCCGCATCTGCCTCGAACTGGACAAGTTAAGAGATACAGTTGTGGAAACACGGAAAGCAGGTGCCCTACTACGAGCCCTCCCTAATGGACAGTATGGCTCGTTCAAAAATGTCCTGATGAGCGAAAAGGCAATCCTCGGAAGCGATGGTCTCGTATTCGAGGAGATAGCGCGCCGTGCAACTTCGTATCATGCCATGCAAATTCGCGGAGAAATGTCTGACCATGGTGACGGTTCAGGCAGCCACGGCCGTGCGTTGAACACTGTCGCGCACGAAGGAGCACGTGGTCTCCGCAGGCGTGGCGGCCGTGGCGGCCGTGGTGGACGCAGCCGCCGAGGTAATGGCGGCCGAATTGCAGACGGTTCGACCAGTGGAAGTGGGTCGAACGGCAACAACAACAACAACGGAACCTCCGGAGGAGACAGCGCGGGAAATGCGCATGGCGGACGCGGGAATGATCGCAGGAGCCGAAACTCTGGAGGTCGTGGTCGGGCTCAGGATACCGGCCGCAACCGTCAAGGACGTTGCAGATACTGCCGTAACAGCACCGAGCACGGGTGGGACGAATGCCCGCTCCGCCGGAGGCACGAGGCGGAGGACAACAACACAGGACAGGTGCACAAAACGCAAGTCTCCACCACGCAGGCTTGGTGGGTGGAGGCGGCGGACGATGAGCTTGAAGATTTCGCCATCGTCTTCGATAACGACAAGCAGGAGCTGAACGCCCCTGCTGTGGCGTTGCCGAGGGAGCGCGCTGCTGCTGGTGACCAGGAGCAAGACGCGGCTGCACCGGCGCTGCCGGACGGAGTCGTAATATATGATCCGCGAGTATGGGAGTGCGCTGCTGGAGATGAGCAGACGCACGATGTGCCCGAGTCGGCGCTGCCGAATGTGCGCGCCACTGACGACCTGCAGGAATTCGCGGAGCCTGCGGCAGCGACGGACCTCGATCTCACTACCCCTCCTGACTCTCCGGCCGAGAAAGTGACAGAGCTGGTAAGGTACACTAGCGTGTTTCAAGTGGACAAGGAGTCGAAGGATGTTGGTGATACGACGCTCTACATAGATACAGCGGCGTCGAGCCATACAGTTGGCGCCCGCAGTTAAGAAACGCTTATTTCAGGTCCAGCCTCGAATTTCTTATTGTGGGCTATATACTCAGCGTATGTCGTTCAGTGTCATATTCC